CTGGAGCCGAGCCCAGCGGCCCCTTCCCCTCTTGGCCGGCCGGGGCTGTAGCGGACGCGCCCCCGTCGGAGGCTTTGGGCGGAAGCCGCTCCTGGGGCCGTCCAGCCTTGTTTTCTGGGCCGCCTCCCGCCAGCCAAGCGGTAGCCGAGCGAGCGGCGGGCAGGTCCGGAGAGGAGGGGAGGGCGAGGGGCGACGAAGAGCCGGACACGGCCGTTGCAACGCGTTGATCGCGGGGAACAAAGGGGCGGCTGGAACCAGCCGGGCCCTCGCCGAAGATCGGGCTGAAGGGACAAAAAGAGCACCTTTGAGCGCAGGCAGAGTGCGTTTCCCTCGGGGCATACTGGCCACCAATTTGCCTCGGACCGGACCCCGCTTAGAACAGAGAGAGAAAGGACTTTTCGTTGGTTTGATTGGTGTGCCCCCGTTTTCGGCCAACGCGGACTTTCGGGTCCCGATAGGATTAAGCCTCCAGTACCTGTCAATCTAAAAATGAATAACTGATGGGAATGGAGAAACTGGACGGGATGGGAAAAGGTATTTATTGTCTAGACATATCTGTCTAATGCGCTTGTTCACCACAGATCAACCATGGCAGAAAGGAACTTGGAGTATATACAGTACTATACATCAACCTTGGGTAACTCTGGTGTTCTTGGGCTGCATCACCCAGAAACCCCGCTGGTGCTGAAGTCTTTTGGAAGTGGCATACCTGGGTTACCAAAGGCTGGGAACCACTGTATTGTTACTGTGGGCATTTTAATGGAATCAGTTTTTCTCCTAAACCTTAAGGCCCAAAATAGATAAATACCTGGTTATCTTAAGGTCTGCCATCTTTCATATGCTACCGTGTTTCTTCCTCCATCAGGTAGACCACTATTTCACCAGGTATCTGGAAGCTAGTTAGGTAGACTGTCACCAGCTCTAGACCAGCATTCATGGTGCCCTCCAGAGGTTCTAACCACATCTCTCCTATGGCCTTCTCTCTGGGTGGCTCATGGAATGTACTGCCCACAAAGAATGGTCAAGCTCACCGCGGATGTTTTAAGCAGAATCTAAAAATATAGCTCTTTTAGAATTGGTTAGAAATTTTAACAGTGTTTCTTGTGTGTGTGTGTTAGCCCTCCTCTGAACTGCTACATTTATAACCTATTATAATTGCTACTATGTATGAATTTGAGTTTGTCTTTTAAATATTGGTTTGTCATCATGAATCTGTTACTCAAAATAAATAAATGGATACAAATAAACAGTTCCCTGCAGTACCACACTCTCAAGTATTAGCACTTTCTGTGCAGAATGCAAGGGACGCTTGCCCAGAGGAAACCATTGTTTGTTGTTACATGCCATCAAGCCGCCCCAATTTATGACGATCCCATGAATGAGTGATCTCCAAAATGTCCTGTCAACAGCCTTGCTCAGCTCTTACAAACTCAAGCCTGTGACTTCCTTTAGGAAGACAATCCAGCACATATTGGGTCTTCTTCTTTTCCTGCTGCCTTCCACCTCTCCATCATTATTGTTTCTTTCCAGAGTATCCTGCCTTCTCATGCTGTGCCCGAAGTAGGACAGCCACAGTTTCAACAATTTTTCCTCCAGAGCTACATAGTTCAGCGTTGATTTGATCTAGGACCCACTGGTTTGTCTTTCAGGCAAAGCTCTCCTCCAGCACCACATATCAAATGAATCAATCCCCCCCCCCAGCTTTCTTTACTATCCAGCTTTTACATCCCTGCATGATGATCAGAAAAACAATAGTGTGGATGATCTTCATCTTGGTCTCCAGTGACTCTTCCTTACATTTGATTTTTTTTTTTACAGTTCTGTCATTGCTGCCCTTCTTAGTCTTGGTTTTCTTCTGATTTCTTGGCTATACTCTCCATTTGGACTGACAGTTGAACCAAGGTACACAAAATCTCTAACCACTTCAGTTTCTTCATTGTCAACATTGAAATTTTGTGGTACTTCTATAGTTATGATTTTTTTTCTTGATGTTCAGCTGCAGTCCTGCTTTGATTCTTTCTTCTTTCACTTTCACTAAAAGTCATTTCAAGTCATTGCTGCTTTCTGCCAGTAAGATGGTGTCATCTGTGTATCATAAATTATTGATGTTTCTTCTGCCAATTTTCATATTCTATTTAGATATATTAAAGTGTTTTGACATGCCAACATGCGCTGAATTATGGAGAAAGCCAGAGAGATCTAGAAAAACATCTACTTCTGCTTCATTGACTATGCAAAAGCCTTTGACTGTGTCGACCACAGTCCAGAGACCTTTGGGTAGTGTGGGCGGCATATAAATTAAATAAATAAATAAATAAATAAACAAACAAACAAACAAACAAACAAACTATGGCAAGTCCTCAAAAGAAATGGGAGTGGCTGACCACCTTATCTGTCCCCTGAGAAACCTATACAGTGGACCCTCAACTTACAGATGGCTCGACTTACAGGCTTTTCGAGTTACAGACTTCTCTGGCCGCAAAATTTAGGTTCGACTTGCAGCCG